AGCGGTTACTACAGAACTCGGGTGGAGAAATAAGAAAATCACAACAATGTTTAGCATGTTATTTTAGTAATTAGTCTGTTCTTGTTGGCTTAGTTTATGTGTTCATTAAGTGTTAGTTGTGTTAGACTTGTTAGTGGTAGAGTAACCATGAGTGATGGAGATGGCTCTCACAAAGACCTGTGGGGTTCACTCTGTGTTGAAAATAAAGCTTATGAAACACCACCTGGTGAATGATTCCTGGTCTACAACAAGAGCCATGCATCTCCTTCAGTAGCTGAGTGCTGACACGCTACAATATATATAAAAAAACAGCTAGATTATAAAGCCATGTATAATACTAAAAACAAGAACATGTCTTGAGTTGATTTTTGCCATGAACTTAGCAGATGTTTGAAGCCACGTAGAGAGGTCAAGGTTGAGAGCTCCAGATCTTTTTGCAAGATATTCCAGGAAACAGGAGTGGAGTAAGAGAAGGCCCTTTTGGCTAATTAAGTCTACACTGAGGGAACACTGCAGGTAATAATGTCCTGAGAGCGCACGCTGTAGCTGCACTCACGCAGTGACATGTAGGAGGAGATGTATGAAGGCAGTAGACCAAGAAGTGATTTAATTTAAAGATGAAAATAAAACTTGAACTTAAAAAAAATAAAAAACAACCTTGGTTCAACACTGGAGCATGAAAGGCAGCAAGCGACTCCTTTAAGGAATGCTCGGTTTTTATTTAATTAATAATATGATTTTTTTTTAAACACATAACCTAAAATAAATGTATTTTCCTTGTACCTACTGTGTTTTAATCCTTCTTCCTGCAGAGGTCACGAGCAGCCGCCAGGGGGCGGCAGAACATTTTTACTCTTCAAATGATTTATTTCTCTTCCAGCCGAGTCCAAACTTCTACGTAACGGAGACAAAGTGAGCAGCTCCACATCCCACCTGTGGTTTCCTCTGAGGTCCCCACACCTGTCTCCACAGTGCGTGTTTGTGTGGAAGTCCGTGGTGAAGACAGCGTGAACGTGCGGTCGGTCACCTTCTTTTTGTTTCATGTTTGATCTTTGAACTGCCGCCACCTCAGAGCTGCTCAGCATCAGGAAAGACGCTTAAAACCCAGAAAAGCCGGCCTGAAGCCTCCTGGACGTGACTCTGCTGTCTGTGGGCAAACTCCACGGATTTAATCTCTGAGGTATAAATGCTCTGAGCGGTTTTCATAAGAAACTACGCTGAAAGTCGACATGTTTCATGTACAATGTCTCTTCACGGTCGGCTTGGCTTTCATTGGAGCAGCCCGGTGTCTAAAAGTGACCCCGCAGGATGGACTCGAGTTTCTGGAGAACATTTTCGTCTTCTATGGAGCGAATAAATCAGTTACCACAAGTAATCTGGAAGATCTGCTGCTGCTGATCTCAGCCAGGAGATCTGATTTAATCACTAAAGAAAATCCACTGGAAGACCATCAGGTATGTTATCTATTTTTAATGCACTAATTTACTGGGAGAACTGGTGGAATAAATGTTAGGTTTCATCTTTATACATGTAAAATAAAGGCTTGAAATTAAAGATAAGATTTTACTTTACTAAATTTGTTATTATTATTATTCAAAGAAATGCAGAATTTCCTCACATTTCTTGATTTGAGTCAGTTTTTGCTTGCAGTACTTTCTGCATCTTTACTGCTCACAGTTTGATGTTTTGCAGCTTCAAATCTTTAAGCTGAAATTTTTATGAAATAATCACCCACCATCAGGATTCTAGACGAACATCTTATTTTGAAAAAGTCTGTAGGGATGCTCTGAATGTGTGTTGTGAGTGACTCTCAACTACTACCACATCCAGTATCTGCAACATTGACTGACCATGGTTGAGCTAAAGGGCTGTGGTGGCCTTTTTGAATTAGACTGACTGCAAAAGTTTACAGATTTAAATCTAAACTCAAATAATTTTCAAGAAATTTCATTAAAATCCAGCCAGTGGTTTGAGAGAGATTTTGCTAACAGACAAACGGATTGACTTCAACAGTCAGCCTTTGCCTTTCGATGGTGAGACAATTATTGGAGCTCTTTTATTTGTTGTTTCAGTCCTTCTCACTAATATTAAGAAAAGATGACTTGGGGGGCGGGGGGAATAAAAAACAGCAGAAAAGCCCAAAAGTTATAATGTATAATGAAGGGAAAGGGGAGGAATAACATGTCTTTCTCCTCAGTGTCAGTCAGCAGAGCAGATTCTGTCCCACTTTGGGTTGAGCAACGTCACTGAACTGACCGTGGAACATCTGGGGAGGATCTGCCCCGCTGTGTTGACCCAGGTGCTGCTGCCCTCCTGCCCCTACATCAGCCCCGAGGGCCTGCCGCCCGTGGACTACTCTGGTGAGTCGCTCCGTCCTAACGTCGGTTCATCGGGGGAACTCCTCGACCTCAGCTAACCAGCAGATTCTGTTACCTGGTGGTGACACTTATTTACAGTGGTTTGAAAGTTAGAGATCTTTGGATGTGCCTGGGGATTTATTTTCTTTTTGCTCATAGAAAAGTAAAAAAGAAGAAATATAACAACAGAAGTTTGCATTCTTATGAAAATTCTATGAGAATGATGAATTCAACTTTTATTTATACAGGTTAGTCTCACTGAGCCTCGGGGACTCATTTACAAAAGAGACCTGATTTTAACAAAGAGTGATGACAACAGTGGACAATCATAAAAGAAGGCATATAAATTGAGAAGAATAAATGAAAGAAAAATGAAAAAATGGTATTAACGAAACAAAATCAGCTAGAAATGTTTTATTTAATGTAGATTTTCATTCTCAGTATTCATTCAACCTTTAATAACTTGGCTGAAAGTTGTTGAAGCTTACAAGCTGAAATTAGCAAAACTGGTGGCTACAAGCATGAACTATAAAATCACAGTTACAGGTTAAATTTAGCAAAAGTGAAGCAAGAAGCTGAAATTAGCAAAAGCATAATTACAAGCTGAAAATGGTGAAATTATCTACATGCTAAATATGGCAAAACCATATAAGCTAAAAGTAGCAACACCACAGCTACAAGCTAAATTAGACATATGAATACTAAACAAAGCAAGTATACTGAGTAGATTAAAAATGAAAAATGCTTTTAAATTATTTAAAGAGATTTTAATGTGTTTCTGTCAATGATTTTTCTTCTGTAAATAAAGCTAAATAATTCTAAAAGTAATAAAGGTACAAATATGAAGTTATAATACTATTACCAGTTGACCTGAATGTTTTGATATTTGCACAAAGTATGCAGTTTGTACAGAAACACATGGAAGAACATAAACAAGAGAACATGCTGACTCAGCATTCACACAACTGAGGGATTCTGACCAAACCGAGGAAACGAGAATCTTTAAGCCCTTTTTTTCATGCAAACCATTTCTGCATCCTTGCAGCTGTAATAGGCCACATTATTTAATTTATATATCATTGTATAGAACCCCTGCGACCCAAAAAGGAAGAAGCAGGTAAAGATGATTTCTTTTAACTTACTTTTACATATCAATGTTTCTGTTCAGTGCCCTAAGGTGACTTCTATTGTGACTTGGCACTATATAAATAAACTGAATTGAATTGATGGATGGATCATTTTATAGATCTTTGCCAAATTTGAAAGTTGAATAATTTTTAAAGAAATCTTGAAAACGTGCTACCTTTCCCCTGATTTGCCCATTTTACTTTATCTCCCATAATTCTGTTGTTTTATTCTTACTGGTTTTGAGCACTTTGGCACAGTTGATAGAGCTGCTGCCTCTCAGCGAGCAGGTTACCCTAGTTCAAATCCCAGTCTGGAGGCTTTCCTGGGTGGAGTTTTCATGTTCTCTCTGTGCATGCATGTGTTTTTTCCACTTACTCCAGTTTCCTCCCACAAAAACATAGATGTTAGGCTGATTGGTAACTCTAAATTGTCTCTAGGTGTGAGTGAGAGTGTGAATGGTTGTTTGTCTCATTTGTCTCCATATGTCCCTGTGATGGACTGGAGACCTGTCCAGGGTGTACCCCGACTCTCGCACAGTGATACCTGGACATGTGTGACCTCCGTGACCCAAAAAGTAAGAAGCGGTTAAAGATAACTGATGGATGGAGGATTTTGAAATAATTCACTGTTTGAAGTAAACATAAAATATATTAGAAAAAAAATCAAATTCCATTTAGAAATTGAATGTTTTAGAAGTACAGTACATCAAAACAAATTGAAACCGCTGTGTTCCTACCCACAGGCTCTAATGCCAAAGTTTCTAAAAATCAACTGATCTTCAGCTACTAAAATACCAATATTTTTATCTTTGTATTGAAGTCGGTCGTGTTTAATCGTGTGACTCTGAACCCTTCATGTTTCCTCGGATCGACTCGGGGGGCCACCAACCCTTCAGATACATCATCTCATCCGCCCTCTGTGTTGCTGACACACTTTCAGAGAGCCACAATTCTGATGGCCACTGATCCTGCTGTTCCACCGCCAGCTTCATCAGAACTCCTCTCCAAACAAATACTACTGGGCCTTTTGTTGAACTGTACATATTTCTGCCTCAGCTATGGTCATGAACTCTGAGTAGAGACTGAAAGAATGAGATTGTGGATACAGGCGGTTGAAATGAGTTTCCTCCGCAGGGTAACTGAACTGTACCTTAGATATAGGCTGAGAAATTTGATTATCTGGGAGAGACTGGAGTAGAACCGCTGCTCTTCCACATCGAGAGGAGCCAGTTGAGGTGAATCGGGCATCTGGTAAGAATACCTTGTGTGCGCCACCCTTTTAAAGGGAGGTACTCTGGGCATGTCCAACTAGGAGGAGACCCCAGGGAAGACCCAGGTCACGCTGGAGATACATGTCTCTCAGCTGGCCTGAGAACACCTCCTGCCAGAAGAGTTGGCTGTGGAAAGAGATGTCTGGGCATCCATGCTTAAGCTGCTGCCCAGAACAAGTGTATGATGAATGGATGAATGGATGGATAGATGGGTGGTTGGATGGATGGATGGTTGAAAAATGGATGGATGGTTGCATGTATGTATGTATGTATGTATGTATGTATGTATGTATGTATGTATGTATGTATGTATGTATGTATGTATGTATGTATGTATGTATGTATGTATGTATGTATGTATGTATGTATGTATGTATGTATGTATGTATGTATGTATGTATGTATGTATGTATGTATGTATGTATGTATGTATGTATGTATGTATGTATGTATGTA